CTGCAGGAAAACACAGCCGTGACAGCTGGCCTCACACTGGATGAACGAATGACTTCCTTCCTCCCAGGGCCCCTTCCCCAAGAGTCCTGCTCTCCTTGCCCTCCCTCAGGACGTAGATGGCCTTGCTCCCATGTCACTGAGAAAATCCCTCTGTGGGAAAGGCCCCTGCAGCAGCCCCGCATCTCCTCAGCCAGCACATTGCCTGCACACGCTGCTACCGCCAGTCACCTCTTCCTGTCCACGGCCAGTCCTCCGCTCCATCACAGGCCCCGCTCCTGTCCATTCAGGGCCACCTGCTGCCCTCCCTCTCTTTCCACGCCACCATCCTGTCCTCTCCCCTGGGCCATTCTTGTTGACGTAGAAAACCATCTGAACAAGCAAGTCCTCCATAGACCCCACTTCTTGCAGCTGCCCCCCGATGTCCGTACATCCCCGCTGCAGTAAACTCCTTGAGAGCCGTCCAAGCCCCCTCCGCCTGTCTCCGTCAGACCTGCTCCAGCTGGCCATGCCTTCGCCCCCTCCTGACTTTGAGGGCACCAAGGACGTCAGTACGGTGGAAGCCACCGGGCGAACCCCAGTCCTCACTACACTTGACCCACCAGGAACGGGGGACACATGGACCACGCTGCCTTTACCCCTGGACACACAGCTCCTGGCTCTGCTCGCTCCTCACCACCACCGCTTCTGTGTGGCCTTCGCTGCCGCCTCATCTCCTCCCACCTCTGCTCACTCTCCCGGCGCCCTCGCCCAGGGCCCCCAGCCTCAGGCAGCATCTGCAGGGGTGCTCATACACCCACTCGTCCCGACCTGTCCGCTTTGGCGTCCAACAGACTGCACACTCACAGGTGCAGCATGGACCCGTGCTCCCAAACCCTGCTCCAGCCACCACTCCCCCTTCTGGTCGCTGCCAGTCCGTCCTAGCCCTGGAGTCCTTGTCTCCTCTCTCTCACACTCGCTAGCTCGACTTTCCAAATACACTTAGAATCTGACGACTCCTCACCCTTTCCACCCTGGTCCCAGCCACTGCCGTCTCATCTAAGTTACTGCAGCAGCCTCATACCGGTCGTCCCTGGTCCCCAACCCTGACCACTCTCGTGTCCAACCACATCACTTCTCTACTCACAGCCCTGTGGTGGTTCAGGAAAAATCCAGAGTCCTTCCACCACCCAGGCCTTCCCCCAACCTCTCCACCCTCATGCTAGACCCCCAACTCATTCCGTTTGTGCTTCGGGGCCTCCTTGCTATTCCTCAAACACACCAGCCACACTCCTGCCCCAGGGCCCTTGCTCTTGCTGTCTTCTCTGCCTGGAGGGCTCCCAGATACCCACCTGGCTAGCTCCCTTGCGTGTTGCTGTGATACTGGAAGCTATGCCACCGGTATTTCAAATGCCAGCAGGGTCACCCACGGTGGACAAGTTTCAGTGGTGCTTCCAGACCAAGAGAGACTAGGAAGAAAGGGCTGGCAATCTTCCTCTGAAAATCAGCCCTTGAAAACCCTATGGATCACAACAGGATATTGTCCGACACAGTGCTGGAAGATGAGCTCCCTAGGCCAAAGGCACTCAGAATACTCAGTGGCCGTTAACAATGGACTCAAACATACCAACGATCGTGAAGATGGCGCAGGACCAGGCAGCATTTCATTCCACCGTGCACAGGGTCACCATGAGTCGGAGCCGACTCCACAACAACTAACAATATCAGCAGTTCTCTTGCCAGCTTCTGATCTTTTCTCAAATCTCACCTTTGCAAGGAGGCCTCTTGGGGACATCCTACTTGATCAAGAAGCACGCTCTCTGCCCTATCTCACCCCGTCCCGCCCTTGGTGCCATCAAGCCTCTGACTCTGCTTGATGTTTATTTTTTCCAAAGCACTTATCCCCTGTAGCTTAGCACGTAGTTTACTGATCATGTTCTCTCTCTTCTCCCTGCCTGAATGCAGCCTCCATGCCGGCGGGGGTTGTTTCCTTCACGGATGTATCCTGAGCCCCTAGAACAACAGCTGGCCGGTAGAAGAACCCTTCTTTCAGCCAGCGCTTAAGAGAACGTGTCCTGTGCCTGGCCGGGGGACTGGGCAGGCGGAGGACCAGCAGGGCATCTGCCCTTGGAGCTTACAGTCGTTCTCACTGATATTTCCTGGAGACCACCAATTTTTAGAATAAGGAAAAAGAAAGTGGAGAAGCGTCAACAAGAGTCGCATTAGCCATCTTCCCAGTGTGTTAACGCTCAAACCCACCCGTCAGACTGCCGTTGACACCCACACTGTCCCCAGGGGTGCAGGGCTCCAGCCTGCCGGGCTGCCTCGGATAACTGACTCTGAAAGCAGGACCCTAGGCCCCTCAATCCCGTATGCAAAAACGATTTGCCCAATGACATGAGGCACGATCAGTGGTGAACAAAATAAGCCCGATAAGATACTCTGCCACCTAATCGTGCAATAACTCCCCTCTAAATAAACACACGCTCCCAGCGAACACATCCTCATTGAAAACAAACCCCCCCAACACACACACAGGGATCAAGTCTTGTGCTTTTTTCAATCATTAGCTGGACTGAAACCCTCCCAGGCCCATTTTCTGAAGTTCTGGCAGCAAATTAATAACCTTGGGCCGTTTTTAATTAACGGTCTTTAAAGATGGTTTGCTAAATTAGCCAGCTGTGAACAATCTCACCCAAATGGCTGCGTTCTAACCGCACCTCACCCCCATCCCGTGTTGTCTCCTGGCTGAGCGCACGCGCCATCAGCCCGAGCGTTCCCTGCTCTATTCTCTGCCCGTGTTTCCACCGGCGGGCGCGTCTCCAGGGTGCTGCCACCAGGGGCTGCCATTCTATGACGGGGGACCACGGGAGCCCCATCTTAACCCGGGGAAGATGGGACCGCACAACGCCTCCTGGTGTCCAGGTGAATCAGCCACGTCACCGGACCCGCGGAGGGCTAGCCTAGTCCGCGAGCCAGGGAGGTGGCCACGCCCCGGTGGCGGGACAGCCTGTGCAACTTCCCACGCGTGTTCGCGCAGTGTCTCCCCTTCGGTATGTGTGCTTGCGCACTCTCGCGTCACCCCAGAAGGGGACTAGGAATCGGGTATAGCTTTAGCTGCAGCTCAGAGATGAGAACACGGAGCGCCGAAGGCTCAAATGACTCTCCCAGGGTTAGCGAGGGAGCCAGAGAGGGCCCCCGGCCACCCTCCTGGAGGTCCACTGTGCCCCGTGCAGCCACCGCCTCCCGCCCCGCTCTGTCCCCCTCCTGCCGTCCTCTCCAGTCACCCTCGTGACAAGAGGCTGACCACGGCACTCGCCACCACGCCCAGCCCTCCCACGGCCGAGAGCCGGCGGTCCCCTGCCCGCGCCCTCCAGCCACGCTGGCCCTCCCAGCGCCGCAGCCCTCCTTGTCCCTCAAGGCCTCCACGCAGCTTCCGTTCAGGCTGCTCACCAGCCACCGCTCCGCGGCCCCCAGGCAGCCCCAGGGGAAGCGGATCCAGGCGCCCGTTGGGGTCTGCCATGCCCCCGAGGACGAGGGCTGGGCTCCAGGGCACCTTCATTGCAGGGCACACTGGGTCCAGCGACCCAGCCTTCATTCCGGGGAAGAACGGTGGCCAGTGGTGTTACATGAGGGGACAGTGGGGTAGGGGAGGGGCCAGAAATCTGGGACGCGGGTGAGCTTGTCCTGCTGTGTTGTTACACTGCCCATCCTACCATATCAGGGCATCTTTCTAACGCCCTAAATGGTTCTAGAACCCGAAGGCAAGCAGACCCTTCCCCATGGTGTGGGTCGTCCTCTCAGACACGGAAAGAAGAAGTCGACTTAAGGCAAACCCGCCAGGCACCACCACAGTGGAAACTCACTAGTTCACTCCCAGGGCTGTCTTCCAGTGGGGTCACCTGAGCACACTCCTTGTCGAATTTGCTCTGAGACCTGCTCTCCGCCGAGTGGGTGGTTTGTGTTTGAGAGGCTTCCCACCTGGGCCAGGATGAGTAGGATTCTTCTCTGGCTGCAGCTGGCAGTAAGGATCCTATACTTCTGATTCCAGACTGTTCTCCAGGCTAGGTAGAGAGTGGAATAGCCTCGGAGCTGGAGAGGACCCCAGACGACATGGAATCCGGTGGTGGAAGCGTGTGTGCTTAACGGGCGGCCAGTCATGTTTGTGGACACAGGACGCGGCGTGCCCTGCCATGTACGCAGAGCCGTGAGCCCTCCATCCGCAGGCATCCAGACCCACAGCTCACTAGGGCCCAGAACAACCAGGTGCTGTCGAGTCAGCCCCGACTCACGGCTACCCCATGTGTGCCACCGTAGAGCTGAGCCCCACAGGGTTTTCAATGGATGACATTTACAGAAGTAAATCGCCAGGCCTTTCTTCTGAGGTGCCTCTGGGTGGACTCGAACCTCCAACCTTTCAGTTAGCAGCCAAGTGCATTAACCATTTGCACCACCCAGGGACTCCTAACTAAGGACCCAAAAAAACTCTGTTAAACCCGTTGCTGTCCAGTTGATTCTGACACATGGTGACTCCATGCGTTTTTCAATATTGAACAAATAAATGACTCGTGTTTCCTACGGAGATGCACAGACTGGAGAGTTCATCCACCAGGTGGCAGCCAAGCCTCACTGACATGCAGCGTGTATACCGTTCCACTTTCATCTAGGCCCAGTAGAAGTTACACTCATATTTCAGTTCAGCTCAGCAAATCCTATGCAAAGCATCCTAACCATGGGGGGCCTGAGAAAGCGGCAGGGGTTGGGGGGGATCGGTACACGGGCTCTGTCAGGAGGCCAGTCGCTGCCCTGGGGTAGCTTTCGGGTGGTGGCTGCGCACAAGGGGCATCGGCCGCAACTGAACGCGGGTCTCCCGCGGGGAAGGCAAGATTCTACCCTGAACCACCACAGCTGCATTCAAACGTGCCGTCCTTGATAAGTGAACGTGGGTCTCCCGCGGGGAAGGCAAGAATTCCACCCTGAACCACCACAGCTGCATTCAAACGTGCCATCCTGAAAGCGGAAGCATGTTGTCCAGCTTCTGCCCCGAGCTGCTGGCGCTGCTCCTGGTCTCTTGGTTGGATCCGGAAGAGCAGGGCTTGCTGTGCAGAATCAAGGGCAGTGATGCTGTGCTCTCCTTGCTCAAGGTCACGGAGGAGACCACGATGCTGCTCCTCTGGCGTTTAACATTCTTAGAAGTCTAGTGGTAATCGACGACACAGAACCCTCCCAGATGGACGGCCTTTCCCGTCTTTGCCTCTGATGATTTACGACAACCATCTTCCAACTCTGAGGCCGAGGGTCAAGGAAAGCGTGACCTCCTTCTTCACTCTTTAAATTCGACAAAGAAAACCTCAAGGTGAGCAAAGGCATAAAACCATATCAACCTACAAGATGTGAGACTTTATAGGGTGTGAATTATAAATTATAACACTCTTGATTAAAAAAAGAAAACTGTCCATGTAGAAGAATGCCTCCTTATGAACGGCAGCCCTCTGACCCTGCTTACTGGGGAGAAAGGAAAGCTGTGTTGTTTGTGCGAGACAGTGAAAAATGGGAGGCTCCTCAGAGGAGTTTTATAGACACAGCTCTGTGGCACTTGTAATAGCATCCTAGGGCACTGTAACGGAGGACCACAAGCTGAGTGGCTTTAAACAACAGAAATGTAATGTCCCAAAGTTGTAGAGGCTGGGGCCCAAAATCAGGGTGTCCAGTGAGCTGATTCCTTCTAAGGGCTCTGAGAAACTCGTCATGCCTCTCTTAGCTTCTAGTGACGGATGGGGACCCTGGGAGTTCCCTGATTTGTAGACGCATCACTCCAATCTCTGCCTCGTCTTCACACAGTGTCTTCCCTCTGTCTTCTGTGTCTCTCCTCCTCTTTTATAAGGACCCCAGTCAGACGGGATGAGGACCCACCCGACTCCAGCATGACCTCATGTTAACCAGTAACATCTTCAAAGACCCTAGTTCCAAGCAAGATCACGTTAACAGGTTCAGGGGTGGTTTTTGTTCCTGTTGTTAGGTGCCATCAAGTTGGTTCCAACTCAGAGCAACCCAGTGTACAACAGAACTGAAGGAAACACTGCCCGGTCCTGCGCCAGCCTCACAATCCTTGTTATTTTTGAGCCCTCTGTTGCAGTCACTGTGTCAATCCATCTCATTGAGGGCCTTCCTCTTATTCGCTGACCTCTACTTTACCAAGCATAATGTCCTTCTCCAGGGACTGGTCCCTCCTGATAACATGTCCAAAGTACGTGAGACAAAGTCTCGCCATCCTTGCTTCCAAGGAGCACTCTTCCAAGACAGACTTGTTTGTTCTTCTGCCAGTCCATGGTATATTCAATACTCTTCACCAACACCGTAATTCACAGGCAACAATTCTGCTTTGGTCTTCCTTATTCATTGTCCTGCTTTCACATACATATGAGACGATTAAAAATACCATGGCTTGGGTCAGGCACACCTTAGTCCTCAAGGTGACATCTCTGCTTTTGAACACTTTAAAGAGGTCTTTTGCAGCAGATTTGCCTAGTGCAAAGGGTCTTTTAATTTCTTAACTGCTGCTTCCATGGGAGTTGATTGTGGATCCAAGTGAAATGAAATCCTTGACAACTTCAATATTTTCTCCGTTTATTATGATGTTGCTTATTGGCCCAGTTGTGAGGATTTTTGTTTTATGTTGAGGTGTAATCCATACTGAAGGCTGTGGCCTTTGACCTTCAGTCAGTAAGTGCTTCAAGTCCTCTTCACTTCCAGCAAGCAAGGTTGTGTCATCCGTATATGGCAGGTTATTAATGAGTCTTCCTCCAATCCTGATGCGATGTTCTTTGCATAGCCCAACTTCTCGGATTTGCTCAGCATACAGATTGAATAAGTGTGGTGAAAGGATACAACCCTGACGCACACCTTTCCTGCTTTTAAACCACGAATGCATTATCCCCTTGTTCCGTTTGAATGACTGCCTCTTGATCTATGTACAGGTTCCTCACGAGCACAATTAAGTGTTCTGGAATCCCCTTTCTTTACAACGTTATCCACAATTTGTTATGATCCACACAGAATCTGAAAACAGGACGTGAAAATGCCTTTTTAGGGGACACAATTCAGTCCATGACACCATTAAGTTTGCAAAGAAAGATGCCTAACAGATCATAAGGGTTGGATCCCAATATGCCCAGTGAGTAAACATTCACCGTGGGGTGTGAAGTCTGCAGAACTTCTGAACATGGGCCAGAACGTCATCTTGACAACGAGTCTGACTTGGGGCGAGACTCCGCAGGTATCCCGTCAGGGCAGAGCCCGGCAGAGCAGCTGTTGAAGGTTGTTCTGAAGGGGCAGGGCTGGCTCTGGAGGTTCTGCGTCAGGTCTCTGTCGTCCTGTTCAGCCTCCATTCTGACGGTTGCTCCCTCTCCAGTTGCCCAGTGTTCTACTGGCCCTGCGATCTCACAGAGTCCAGATCCTGCAACCACAGCCAAACCTCACGATGCGCAGGAAGAAGGCAGCTCCCCTCCGCCTCCTGGATGTCACCCAGCATACGGAGAGGGTGGTTGTGAGAGGTTCCATGCTACAGTGGCGGACACGCAGATCGTACAGGCATGGAGAAGGACGGCCCTGGGGGAAACCAGGAAGCTTTCAGAGCTATGACAGTAAAATGTGTCAGGGTGTCTAACAGGTGGGAGCCCTGCTTCTCGGAGCACAGTAAATGTTAGTTGTTTGGTTGCTGCCTAGTCGGACCTGACTCATGGTGACCCCACGTACCACAGAATGAAACGCAGCCCAGTCCTGCTCCATCTTCAGGATCACTGATGTCTGAGTCCATTGTTGTGGCTACTGTGGAGTGCCTTCCATCCTAGGGGGTTCATCTTCCAGCACTATACTGGAACAACTGGTAAACCTATTGCTGTCGGGTCAATTTCAACTCATAGTGATCCTATAGGACAGAGTAGAACTGCCCCATAGGGTTTTCCAAGGCTGTAATCTTTACAGGAGCAAACCGCCACATCTTTCTCCCAAAGAGCAGCTGGTGGGTTTCAACTGCCGATCTTTCAGTTAGCAGCCACGTGCTTAACCACTGCACCACCAGGGCTCTTTGAAACAACCAGTACTGGCATCAGAATCACCTGGGCTACCTGCTGGAAACTGAAGATTCCTGAGCCTCCTTCCAGAAGCTCCAGGTCAGAATTGTGGGGAAGGGGTGTGAACATGGGGAACCTGCTAGTTTCCTAGGTAATGGTTGAAGGAGTCTTTGGCCTCAAGCGATGTCTGCTTTCCGCCCTGCAGAAGAATCCCCGGAAGGAAATGCTCCGGGCTTGATGAGCTGCCTGAGCTGTGAGAGGAAAAATACAATAAACAAAATGCAAATTAGCACCTCAGAAAGTTACCTTCACACATCTATTCCCCACCGTCGAGATTGTGAGCCCACTGAGAACCGAGGGTCTGGACTTCCTCGTCTTCATCACTCCCCGGCCTCTGCACCTGACAACACGCTTTGTGGACAGAGCACTGAACGCGCACAGTAGTGAGACGCCTTCATTGCAGAAGAGGGAATCGGGGGAGAGGGAGGTTAACAGTGTACAGAGGGAGGGGAGGCTCCTAGAGAAACCGGGAGGATCTGGGTTACGTATGCAGTGGGGGCGTTATGGATTGAATTGTGTGCCCCTAAAATATGTGTTGTCAATCCTAACCCCCTACCCCTGTGGTTATAATCCTATTTGGGGGTGGGTTTCTTTGTTATGTTAATGAGGTAGAATTAGTATGTCTTGAGTCAATCTCTCAGATTAAGGAAGAAAAGAAGCAGAGATGGGGGAAGACAGATGCGATGTCACACAAAGATCACCAAGGAACCACGGAACGAGGACCTTCCCCCAGAGCCGACAGAGAGAGAAAGGCTTCCGCTAGAGCCGGTGCCCTGAATTTGGACTTCTGGCCTCCTAAACTGTGAGAGGATAAATTTGTTTGTTAAAACCACCCACTTGTGGTATTTGTTACAGCAGCACTAAGAGGCTGAGAGAGGAGGGTTCTATCTAGAAACGTGAGAACCCTCCAAGACAGCAGAGGGCAGAAGAGTACTTTGTTCTGGGGAGGACAGGCTACAGAGCAGAAGACCTGCTCTTGGCCTTCCTGGGGGTGAGTGTTGATGGCAGTTAATCAGCCCTTGTACCATTGTGCTCCAGGTGTGCAGGCGATAGTAGATAACTTGTCTTCTTGGCTCCACATCTCCACCCATCCAGTGACGCCTGTACTGCACCCAGCAACCCTGGTGGGGAGCAGGGCTTTTGCTTGTTCTGGATCCTGCAGCTGGCTCCTCTTCATTTGACCTCTGGTTCTTGGGACTTGAGCTAGCAGCTTACCTGTGGTCTTGCCTTCTGATCTTAGGATTCGTCGATTTTCACAGCCTGTGAGCAAGAGCCCTGCTCTCCGACCTGGCAATCTTGGGTTCACCAGCCCCTGTGGCTGTGTGAATCAGAAGAAGCCTCTATCCTGACCCAAGGACTTTGGACATTCTAGCTTCGGCAACTGTGCGGACCATTTCCTTGATATAAATCTATATATATATATGTTTATATGCTTTACTGGTTTTGCTTCTCTAGAGAGCCCAGTCTAAGACACTGGGGTATGGGAGGGACAGTTGAGGGGTCCATAGATGGGGACATTGGATAGGGGTCTGCCAGTGAGGGAAGCTCTCAGTTCTTCACTGCCCCTCATGCAAGAGCAGGAGCCGTGGTGGAAGGTGGTTTACAGATATCACTCTTAATCCCCCCACTAACTGATACGAGACTGGTATCGCTATCCCTGTTTTACAGGAAGAAACTGAGACTAGGACAAATTTGCTCAGCTAATAAGTGGTTAAATTGCCATGCAAACGCACGTCTTTCCTACTCCACTCCAAAGCCTGGGTTCTTTTCTTCAACATTTGATTAAGTTTAACCTGTTGAGAGTCCTAGATTTGTAACATCATTAATTTCCCTCTACCAACATAGAACCCATGATGTCCCATCTCCAAACTCACTGAGGTCTGTCCCCCCCAAAATATACATAGGATAAACCACACGAACATGCCTGTCATGGATTGAATTGTGTCCTCCCAAAATATGTGTCAACTTGGTTAGGCCATGATTCCCAGTATTCTGTGGTTGTCCTCCATTTTGTGATTTTCCTATATATTATAATCTCTGCCTGTG